TATATATTAATTATGTTCTGCGACAGATGGACAAAAACAGACAGCTTAATGCTTAATGTATAATTCCATACCAGCATCATATTATACGTATATTAATTACGTACTGCCGCGTACGGACACAGACCACTTTACGTTTGATCTCACGCCGGCGCCATACACTCGCCTAACTACATCGTTAGTTAATTAATTAATCAACGTTCGCCGCCAGTCGTCGACTGTTCTGACTCGTTTTCTCGCGTTGCCACTAGGGGGCGTCGGTCGGCGAGATCAAGAAGCAGTATCGAGAGCTGAGCCGCGTCTATCACCCGGACAACAAGGACACGGGCGACGAGCGAATGTTCAAGCAGATCGCGAAGGCGAAGGCGGCGCTGACGGACGAGGAGTCGCGGAAGAACTGGGAGGAGTACGGAAACCCGGACGGACCCGGGGGTGAGCGAGGAGGGGGAGGAGGAGAGGTTGAGGGAGAAAGGGAGAGGGGAGGAGGGAGGAGGGAGGAGGGGAGATTGAGGGAGGAGGGAATGAGGAGAGGGGGAGGAGGAGAGGTTGAGGGAAGAGAGGGGGAGGAGGGGAGATTGAGGGAGGATGGAATGAGGAGAGGGAGAGGAAGGGAATGAGGAGGGGAGTGGTGGAGGGAGGAGGGAATGAGGAGAGGGGGAGGAAGCGCGAGGGGGAATGCAGGAGAGCCGTGAGGCGAGGAGAGCGAGAGCGAAGTGCAGGAAGGAATGAGGCGAGAGGCTTGAGGGAGGAGAAGGCAGAGCGAAAAGGAGGAGGAATGAGGCAGAGGCTTGAGCGGAGGAGAGCGAGAGCGGAAGGAGGAGGGACAATGACCGAGGAGCGTTGAGGGAGGAGAGGGAGAGGAAGGGAGGAGCGGACATGAGGACGAGCGTTGAGCGGAGCGAGGAGGGAGAGGAAGGGAGGAGGGAATGAGGACGAAGGTTGAGGGAGGAGAGCGAGAGGAAGGGAGGAGGGAATGAGGAGAGGTGAGGGAGGAGAGCGAGAGGAAGGGAGGAGGGAATGAGGAGAGGTGAGGGAGGAGAGCGAGAGGAAGGGAGGAGGGAATGAGGAGCAGCGCTTGAGTGACGGAGAGCGAGAGGAAGGGCAGCGAGGCGAATGGCAGGAGAGGTTGAATAAGGGAGGAGAGCCGGAGAGGAAGGGAGGAGGGAATGAGGAGAGGTTTAGGGCCGAGGCAGAGGCGGGAGGAGGGAGCGACGCGGAATGAGGCGGAGAGTTGAGGGAGGAGTCAGGGGGCAGAAGCGGAGGATGCGGAATTAGCGAGAGGTTGAGCGGAAGGAGCAGGGGGAGGAAGCGCGAGGAGGAAATGAGGAGAGCGCTTTGCGAGGCGCAGCGCACGAGCGAGCAGGAAGGGAGGAGGAATGAGGCAGAGGTCGAGGGAGGATGCAAGGCACGGGAGGAAGGGAGATGGGAATGAGGAGCAGTTGAGGGGGAGAGGGGGGAGGAAGGGAGGAGGAATGAAGGAGAGGTTGACGCGGTAGCGAGAGCCGAGAGGAAGGGAGGAGGGAATGGTGATGAAGGAACAGAATGGAAGGGGATGGTGAGAGAATGAGGAAGAGACGCAGAGAGAGAGAGAGCAACGACGAGAGCAAGTTTGAGAAAAGAGCAGAGAGAGAAGGAGGGGAGGGAGGAAGACGAGGCGAGCGAGAGAGGTTTAAAGTGCGGGGAGAGTGAAAGGTAAAGAGAGAGACCAGACGAGAGAGAGAGAGAGAGGAGCAAGAAGGAGGAGCTGAGATGAGAGAGAGAATGAGAGGCAGCAGGAGAGAGAGACTGAGAGAGAGAGAAAGACGGTGAGAGAGAGAGCGCGGAGGAGACGGAGAGAGAAGGGAGAAAAGAGAGGAAAGAGGAGAGCAAGGAGAGGAGAGAGAGCGACCAGAGGAGACGAGGGAACGAGTCAGCAGAGAGAGAGCGAGGAGCAGAAAACGAGCCGCGAGACTTAGATATATATATATATAATACTATATATATATATATATATATATATAGACGAGAGAGAGAGAGAGAGAGAGAGAGAGAGAGAGAGAGAGAGAGCGAGAGAGAGAGAGTTGCTAGCACGAGGCCTGCGTGTTCTAATCGTCACATTGTGTGTTCTGCTGCAGCTATGACGTTCGGCATCGCCCTTCCTTCGTGGATCGTAGAGAAGCAGAACTCCATCTTTGTGCTGGCCGTCTACGCTCTCGTCTTCATAGTGGCGCTACCTGTAGTCGTCGTGAGTAACTACACGTGTTTTTTTGTGTTTTTTTTAGTTTTTGTTGTTTTATTTGAACTGCAAGGAAGATTCTGTTGTGTTCGTGTTGTGTTCAAGGAGTTCGTGTTGTGTTTATATTTTTATCATCTTTTTTGTTAGAGTTATGGCAGGCTGGATTGTCTTCGTACAGCTGATAAGATTATGCATTTGCTTTGTTTTTATTTTTATTTTTATTTGTCTGTCAGTTTTTTACAGCTACTTTCGGTGGGAGAAAGGCCTAATGATATAAAAATTATAGCATTAAGCAAATAGTTTGTTTATTTCTGTTTTGTTTATGATTATTTGTTTTGTCTCCATTTGATTAACTCTTCTGCTTCTTCGCGGAGCATTTCTTGCTGTTGAGAATCGGATTTTTTTCCATTTTGTTTTTGTTTGTTTCTTGTATATTTGTTTGTTTGTTTGTTTGTTTATAGGGCACCTGGTGGTACCGGACGATCAAGTACAGTGGGGAGCAGGTGCTGCTGGCGACAACACAGATGTATTTCTACTTCTTCCACAAGACTCCACACATGATCCAACGCAGTGAGTGTCGCCGTGGCAACGCAGTCGCGGCGGTCGTCCCGGCGGTGGTGAAGATGGTGGTGATAGTGATGATGATGGTGATGATGATGGTGATGGTGATGGGGATGATGCTGATGGCAGTGATGGTGATGATGCTGATGGCAGTGATGGTGATGGTGATGGTAGTGATGGTGGTGCTGATGATGGTGATGATGATGATGATAATGATGATGGTGTTGATGATGGTGATGATAGTAGTTGCCTTGATGATACTGCTGGTGCTGATGGTAGTGAGGATGATGCTGATGGTAGTGATGATGGTGCTGATGATGCTGATGATGATAACTGTGATACTGATGATAATATTTGTGTTCATGCTGATGGATTAATTAGCATTCATGGGCTAACGATAACAACGATGAGAATAACGGTGACGACGAGAATAATCATGGGTGACGATGATGAGGTCGTTGTTCGTGCTTTCAGGGGTGCTCATGATCTTGGCGGCATCGATGGAATTTGAGAGGAGCCACAACCCCGAAATACAGGAACGCGAGAGCGACAATATAGCATTACCTCAGGTACGGTCGAACCTGTGTATAGAGGCCGCCCGAGGCAGAATTGTCCTTTATAGACAGGTGGTACTGTACCCTGTTTGTATAGGTGGCCACGAACACAAGTTTATGTAAAATCCTCCAAGGAAGTACAGGAGCGCGCGCGAGAGCGACAATATAGCATTACCTCAGGTACGGTCGAACCTGTGTATAGAGGCCGCCCGAGGCAGAATTGTCCTTTGCAGACAGGTGGTACTGTGCCCTGTAGAAGTGGCCATGAACATATGTTTATGTAAAATTTATTGAGGATCCATTTTAAACATAAATTCGACTAAGGATCCGTGCTCCATTTCATTTAAAACCTATTAATGTTCCATTTCAAACGTTAGAGGATACGCTTTGAACGACGTGCGCGGATAGAGCATCTCGATTTCTTTCTCCCAGTTGATCAAGGATCTTCCGTACCTCGGCGAGAAGAGCAAGGAGCGTCCATTCTGCTATCCGTACAGCGTAAAGGCGAGGGCGCTGCTGCATGCTCACTTGTCACGGCTGGATCTCCCGCTCGAGACCCTTGATCAGGGTGAGCCGAGGAGAGGGGAAGGGGGAAGGAGGGAGGGCAGAGAGAGAGGAGATGAGGGAGAGTGCAAAAGAGAGAAAGAGGAAGAGAGAAATACAGGGAGATATATATATATATA